GTTTGGGTGAGCGGAGAAGAAAAGTTTTACGGACGCAAAGGCGGGGAATAGACCTGCAACCAGACAACAAAAGAATAACTGTCCACACGCTTAAATTACGTCGCGGAGGGCAACGCATATTGGAAAACTCTGATTGGGGGAGTGAATCGAAAAATCTTTTCGGTTGAATACTGGTTCAAAGATTTAACAATTTTTTAAAATTTATTTTAGTATTAAAATTTTAAATAAAAATAAATTATTTATTTTAGAAAATAAAAGCTTGTTAAATCTCCTGATTTTTTTTTTTTATCGATTCAACTGATTTTTTTATCGAAATTGATCGATTCAATTGATTTTTTCGATTATTCATTGAACCAGATCGAAGGTACGCCCTATCCAATTTTCAAAACATTAATGAAGAGTGACTCCAACCGATCACCTTTGGATTGTGATATTTGCGATTTGAGGTTTTCTCTTTTGTTCAAAAAATATATATATATAAGAGGAGGGGGCAAGGACAGCTCGAGAGAATGTCTAGTACAAATCCTCAGCAATCACGTATGCAATTGTTGTAGCATGCGGTTGATGACAATAGACGAGACAATGGCCTTGTTTTTAGTTGCTTTAGATTTTTTCAAATCTTATTATAAAGTTGGTTATAGACAATAATTAAAAATAGCAAAAACTACTCTTTGGGTGATTATAGATTTTATTTTTTTTAGTTATTAAAAAATCTATAATTAGAATACAAAAGGGATTGAGAATATCAACAAAAATTGATTATTCAAAATCAAAGTCTATAATCAGCCAGAACAAGCCCATTGACAGTTTAAATTGACGGAATTAAATGTAAAATACAAATTTCAATGGGTCAAAAGTGAACTATTGTATTTATTACATGCTGCTTAGGAGGCTTGAGGTTTTCTTCGGCCCTTTCCAATTCACGCCATATGAGCGGATAGGCTGGTGGTTTGGATGGATAGGGCCTGGTCGGTCCCATTTGAATGGAGGGCCGAAGAGCCTGTCCTGAGTTTCATCAATCTGGGCCTTCAAGAGGCCAAGCATTTGTTGGTTTTGTAAAATGCAAGCGGATTCTTCTTTTGGGCCTCTTCCAAATTCCCAGATATCCGTAATTCTTTCACCTTTTATTGAATAAAACTAATTGATGAATTTAACTTACTCGCAAATATTCTCAAGCAGGTACCATGAAATAGCATTCCACTGGGCCTTTGGAAAGGGCCGGTGGTCACCACCAAGCCTTTAAAAGTCTTGGTAGCGTGGTTGCCTCCTATCAAAAATTGTCACAATATGTGACGGTTTTAATTGGCCATCGAATCCAATGAAGTCTTTACTCACGTCGAATCCCCTCTCCTTTTCCCTTTCCCCAGATTAGGTTGCGACAGGAAACCAATGGACCGGCTGCATCTCCAATAGTAGCTCGAACTTGTTTTTTGTAACCTGTTAATCCAGAAACCATCTAGTTTGCGATACAGAAGTCATTAATTGTGGTGGCATAGCCACAATTTGACGTACCTAAGACTGACGTAGTTAGTAAGTAAGAGAATGGGGACCCGAATGTAATAGGGAGAGAGCATTACAAGGATCCATGTTTGTTAGTGTGTGTTTCTTGTAATCTTGAAGTCAATATCTAATTATGGACCGTTTGAGCGTGCGCGTGTGTATCATTTTATTCGAGCCAACTCCGGAATTTTTGCTAGCGCGGCAACCTTTGGGTCCAAATGGTAGTTGAGAACTAGAAAATGTAAATTGGAAAACCTATATAAGGTTTGTTTGGATCGTAAGTTATTTGAGATATTTTTACTGTAGCACTTTTTATGATGTGATGTATGTGAGATAAAAAGGTAATTGGAAAGGTAAAAAGGTGTATTGGAAATTGTAATGATGATGTAAGCAAATATATTTGGGGAAATAAAGGCCAATCCAAACAAACATTTAACTTGTATTGTTCTGAATCTCAAGTTCTTTACTTTTCCCTTGCATAAAGTTTGCAATTTTCTCTTCAAAAAAAAAAAAAAAAGATTTGAGTGTTTTTTTTTTTTTTTCCTGCATGCCATGCCACTGCTCTTGGGGTTATTCCGATTACAAGAAAGTTCTCAACAAAGACAAATACGCGGACATGTAACATTCAACGTGAGTTTTCTACTTTTCCCGGAGGGGTCGGTTGCCAGTCTCCGCTGCCCATGGGATGATGGGAATGAAGTCCTGAATTCATAGTTCGAGGAAGCAAGATCCTGAAGAATGAGCCAACGCAGCGACAGCATATAAAGCCGAGATTTAGTTATTTCTTTCAGGCTCCTCCCAAGTCTCTCTCTTTTTTTTTTTACACAGTATATCTACATTTACTCTATACTAGTGAAGAGGGACCTGAAAAGATCAAAAGAAAATTCGAAGGGAATTAAACTATCACCAATTCAGACAGGTGTTAATGTACTCGCCGATAACATTTTTTAAAAAAATCTGAATTTTTAGAACGTAGGTAAAAAAATATGATCTCTTGGCCTACACCCAAATAGAGTTTTAAAACTCTCTTGATGGCTAACCATTCTTAAAGTGCTTGGTTTCCTCCGAGTCCTATAACTATGATTTTGATCCCATGATGCCACTATGCCAGAGACCACCGGATCATGGTGATGAATGTCCATTTATTCTTCCACACGTTTCAGTTCTATGTAATTAACTAAGAAACATTTTTGTTATGCAGAAGGCCGCTCTCTCTCTTTTTTTTTTTTTTGAGAAAAGGAAAAGCACAGAAGGCCTTAAATTCATATAATCCTAGCCAATCATCATCGCCTAGCAAATAGTGAAGGGGAAGCATGAGAATTAGAGAAGTAGTGACAAGTGAAAACAATCGCGATGTGATGGTCTAACAGACATGTCACATTTTCATAGCCAACCAAAAGGCGAAAGCTCCCAAGTGGGTATTTAATTAGGTGGCTCGACTTGTAAAAGTCTGAGCAGTGTTATTTTTTTATTAAAAAAAAATTTAAATGACAAATCAATATCGTGAACAAGTGTCACGTGAGATTGAGAGCCAATCAGATTAACGCTCAAACTCGTAATGATTGAGGACTCAGTAGCGTAGTCGAGGTGGTGGAGGCAGGTCAACCTTTTAATTAATTATACTATTAGAAGACACCTGGACTGGACGGTAATTATTCCCCGGAAATAGTGCGAGAAGAGTGCAACTAATTGTGGGTCCCGGTATCGCACTTCCTAACCATGTGATTGCTCAGAGACCTTAATCAATTCGCAGCTTTTAACTGTTTCTATGCCCTGTGATGTGATGCTCATGAATGCGTAGACAACAATGGCCATTTTTTTTTTGGGATAATATCAGAAACCTCCCTTGAGGTTTCTCTTGATATCACTTGGCACCCCTGAAATTTTAGAAATATCACTTACCTCCCTTAATAATTATAAAATGACTATATTAACCCTTACTTGACACATAATTCACAACATATCAAATAAATGAAGCTCAAAAATTAAGGAAACGGAAGTCACATTCTTCTTTTTTCCTCTTCTCCATCATTCTCTCTTACTCATATTTTTTGGATAACTATGCAATATTTTATTGTAAATTATAATAAATTAAATTTTGTTTATCTTTTATTTTTTATGATTGTGATAAAGTGGGGTATGATTTATTTGCTTATTTTGGATTGATTTTTATAATTATTGGTATAGTTTAATGGTTTGAGTAAAGGGTTGAGAAGATGTTGGAAAAAATTTTAAATTTATAGGAAATCGATTTTGAGCATATAGAATTAAGTTAATGCAAGTGTATTTCTTTTCAAATATCATTTTTGAATTTCAATTTTATATTTTTATGGGGTATAGAATTGTGATATAGTGGTACTACAAGAGATTGCTTTTGAGGTGATGGTTTTCTTGAAATGAACAAAGTGGTTTAGAAACATTTTTATTTAGCAAGTGAAATGGTAGTTTAGGGTTTTTAAAAATTTTGTTACACAAAGTAAGGGAGGTAAGTAATATTTTTAAAATTTTAGGGGTGTTAGGTGATATTAAGAGAAACCTCATGGGAGGTTTCTGATATTATCCCTTTTTTTTTCTTCTTCCAAAAAAAATTAATTAAAAAAAAACAAAATAAAGCATCTCGTGCATATGCATCGCGGCTGAACCATGCTTGAAGCCATCGCAGAACCAGAGCTAAGGATTTGGGAGGGTAAGATTTATAATAAAAAAAATTGAGTAGCCCCTGAAGTGTTATTTTCGTTGTTCATTTTTAGCCTCCATCCATTTTTTGTCTCCAAATGATTTTTGAATAATTAAAAGTGCATAAGTTAAGCACTTCTAGTCATAGGGTAATGACACTCGCACGTTAAAATGAATTTCGGACGTTGATATTTTTAAAAATTAATATTAATTAGGAAAAACATATAAATGTAATATAATAATAGTTACCGTGTGAATTTACGTGATATGTTATGTATCATTTAAAAAAGTTCCAAATAATATGAGACGGATATGGTTGAGGTAATGATGAGAATCATTCTATTATGCATTACAAATTTGGAAATGTATAAAGGAAAACTAGCCTTGTTTGGATTGCTTGTTTCCGTCGGAAAATATTGTCGTTTTCCGTGATCACATTTTCCTATCACATTTTTCTCTCACATATATCAAATCGCTACAGTAATTTTTCCATGAAAAATCACAAAAAATACAATCCAAAAAGGAAAACTAATCAGTTAATCTCCGACATTAATTACAAAAAATATATGAAAGCGAAAGAAGAAAAATCGTCCATAATCTGACATTTGATGAGGAATTAAAGTAATATAATAAATGCAGCATCCATGATGTCCCACTGTGCCCCATCATGTCCATACTCATGGTATCATTATTCCCATTTCTCCAAGCAATAGCAAAAACGGACGCCAGGAGGGTTCTCACCCGGGAAGGAGAAGGTATATAAGACAATTCTAAAGTCCAACTGCTTACTGCCAATGAAAACCCAAATCCGCCCGCCCCTATAAGTAAGTTAAAAAATTAAAACAAAATCTTCAAACTCATTCCTTTCCTCCTTTGCATTCACGAACATGGCACCTCCTCTCTCTCCACCTTCTCCGCGTTCCATCTGATATTTTTCTCTGTTCTTTTTTTTTTTTTTCAAGAAAAAAACTGCAAACACAAACAGACCGTACTAGTCTAAATATTATCTTTACCTTAGCGATCCACAGAATTATTGAATACACGAGAAAAACCCCAGTCCTTCTCCTCTTTAACGTCTTCTTCAACCGCTACTTGACAGCAGTGATCATTGTGCTCGACGATCTTATCATTAAAGTAGCAGTAGAAATAATTTTCCAATGTTCGGGTTTAATTACGTTTGCTGATATTGATGAAGCATTTTCGTCGATGCTCGAGGATTTTGATCCTCTCCTTGCTCGTCGTTACTGTCTTCATTCCAATCGGTTTACTTTCTCATCGACTGAAGCACCTCAACGCCGACGGTGATTATCATTCTTTTCATACTTAATTACTAGCGGTTTTTTTTTTTTTTTTGATGTAGAAATACGTAAATAGCGATTTAGTCTCGGCTTGTCTTAATGATTTCTATGCTTTGTTGCAGCTTCTGGAGGATTTGAAGATTTGTCGATAATTGTATGTATACTCCTTTCTTTGTTTTTTTATCTCCTTCTGCAATAACATTTTCTTGAGACAAAATAATTTACTAATTTTGGAGGAAAGTAAGAGGAAAACATCACTGGAAGCATAAAAGGAGTCTCCTCTGTCAAGTAGATTAGGTTCCATTGTTGTTTCTAATATTGATTGTTGTAAGGCAGGAAAGGAGACTTGTGGAGCGGAATTTCTATTCTTATATATCCTGAGATTCTCTGCCAAATTAATTGGAACTAATTTTATTAATTTAGTCGCCAGAGTTTGATTTTTGTTAGGCGAGAGGAGATTTGCTAAATTGAACTAACTTTCCTTCTTCATATGTATTTTCTGTACACTTGTAAAAGGTAATACCAACGTCATAGGCTTATTTAAAAGGAAATCAATAATTTACAGATTTTGATCCTTTTTTCACTGCGAATATTTTTTCAGCAGCTTTTCTCCGTGGGTAATGAAACATATGCTGTTCTTTTATCATTCCTCAAATTGTGATTAAATATATTTTTTTGTTCTTTTATTATTCATCTTGTTCAGAAACACAGGACAGAGGCTCAAAAACTTAGTGCAATTAAAGAGGTAGTCGTTGCTGAACGGATGTGCTTTTTACTTTAATTTACTTTCTGTACTTTCTTCTGCAAATTTTTTACACGGAGACTATTTACTTTCGTGGCTTAGGATGACGATGAATTTGTTAAAGTGCCAGTTCAAGAGGTTTACAAATACCCAGATCATATTTCCGCTGTTAGTTTGACCTCTCCTGGCGAGAACAATAGTCTTAGTGATCCAGGAGATGGTGTAGGTGTCACTTATTTGTCAGAAAGAAATGGTTGGTACTGCTGAATTTTCTTCTACTTGTTTTTTGTTCTCTAATTGCTTATTTTGCATCAATGTGCTTATGTTATGGTCACATTTCAAGTTCAGGAACCAGTGATGAAGCAAAAGAAGATTATCATCAAAGTCAAGAGGAGAAGTCACTGTCAGGAGTTAAGGTATTATATCTGCTTGATATCAACTGGCATAAATCTATAAAGCTATTACTTGGAGTGTGGAGTTTCTGTCATATTTCTGTTGGATACAGGGACAGCTAATACCGAGTAAATCTCCGATGATGTGTTTAAGTTTCAATAGTTTAGCAGAATGAGTTCTTACTGCTGCTGCTGCCTTTTTTTTTTTTGGGGGTGGGGGTGTTAGAAACAAGTGTACGGATTGTTCTGAATGTTTTGGCTATACATGTGCCATTGGAAAGATTTTTGTTCTTACTCCTGTTATTGATCCAGGTGTCTCTTGAAGTTGTCCACTCTGCACATTTCATTAGTTACATAGATGTACTTTTGTATTTTTTGGGTCAAAGGAGAGGCATACATGTTTTTTCACTCAAGTTAAAAGTTGGTCATCACCTTGTTTTCTTGAGTTAAAAGTTTTGACAACATTTGCTCTACGAGTTATATAACAACTGGATTTATTAGTTTTCAAACAGCTTAGTTGTGCTTTCTGTCCTTTTTAAGCGACACGTAATTTCTGATTCTCATGAACTGCTAAGATATCTGGACCGTTTTCTGTTATATATATACATATATACATATATATTAAAATGAGGAGTTTTCTGTGCTTTGTATGTTGTTTTTTCAGTGGTTGATGGGCGGATGACGGAATGGAGTTGTGTGTGGATTTATCATATGAGTTTATGTATTTTCTATTTTGGTTGAATAGAAGTGATTTGTGTTGAGATAATAAGCTTTCAAAATCAAGGACTGAACTCTCCTATGTAATTTCTTCTATATTTTATCCAACTTCCATTTATCTGCTCTATATTCGATACAAAATTCCTTTTTTCTCATCAAGCAAAAAGAGACAGCTTTCGGCAACAACTTGTTTTGCTCCTTGCTCTCTACTTATCTGTGTGGTTGCTTTTTTGTAGGATCGATCAACACCAACAAGGATCCAACAACATCAGACTGTTCAAGTCGGTTCTCGAAGGGTACATGATGAGAAGGTGAAACAGATGAAAGACCAGGTGATTAGGGCTAAGGCATACCTAACCTTTGCTCCGCCCAGTAGCAACTCTCATTTTATAAAAGAGTTGAAATTGCGAATTAAGGAGTCGGAAAGAGCAATTGGTGATTCCACCAAGGATTCTGATTTGTCTAAGAGGTAAATATTGAATTCCTTTATTATTTCGTTGGCCTTTTATTCCATTTATGGGAAATTTTATTTTTGATACAGCAGAAAGCTTTTTGCTTATATTTCAGAAAAATAGACAAAAGCAAGGAATTGAATGCTACAAGAGTCAACCTGTATCATACTAGCCAAGCCATGTTGTAAACATACAGCTAAAAAAACTATTCTTGGCAGAATATGCATTGATCAAAATTTTTATGTAATTAATATCCAAGTTGGATCGAACCTTCTGAGTTGATTCATCCAGATACCAATTGATGATCATGAGATACTCTGATTTTCCATGTCAACATGCTTATAATATTTATATTGGATTGAGAATTACCTTAATCTTCTACTTTGTGGAGCTTTGTATATTAAAGTGGTATATATTTTAATTCTCAGCAATAAGCAGGCTAGTTGATATTGATTGTTAATCTCTGAAGTATCTAATCAGAAAACCACATGCTATCTTTTGAATGGGTGAAAGTGTTTTAATGCTTGGGTCATCTCAGGGCATTGCAGAAGATGAAAGCCATGGGTGCTACCTTGCTAAAAGCAAGTCAGCTTTACCCTGATTGCTCTGCCATGGTGAAAAAACTCCGTGCCATGACTCACAATGCTGAAGAACAAGTTCTGACACTGAAGAATCAAACAACATTTCTTGTTCAGCTTGCTGGAAGGACTACCCCAAAGGGCCTGCACTGCCTCTCCATGCGGTTGACTGCTGAATATTTTAGCCTGCAGTCTGACGAGAGGGAGCTCCCTAACCAACATAAAGTCCATGATCCAAATCTCTTTCACTTTGCTGTTTTTTCAGACAATATTTTGGCTTCTGCAGTGGTTGTCAACTCAACTGTTTCAGTTGCTAGGGTGAGCTTTCGTACGTCAAAAATTTTGTATAAGTAATCTTAGTTTGCTCAAAATGCATACATGCTCTCTCTCTCTCTCCCTCTCTCTCTGTCTGCACCATAGCCACACCTGCACGTACGTGGAGGCAAAAGAGAGGCTATCAGGCATAGAGTTGGTGCATTTTGAAAGGCAGAATGGGCATATCACTAAGGACATTTGCATCCTTGATCTCGTCATGAAGTTGTAGTTCTTCTGGTAGATGTTCCTTGGATGAATGCTTTAATCTAGGGTAGACAATTGTATTTCACCTTAAAGGCCATATTTCTTTATCTGATACTCTAGAGGTTGAATTCGGTCTCGAGTATAATTTGTTCTTAGTTAGCCTTTTTTATGTGAATTATTGTGTTGAATGAATCACCAAGGTGAGTTGTTTTTTCTAACGTGTGTTCTTATTTAGCACTGCTTTTGTTGCTTGATTGTGGTATATGGTTGTATTATTTAAGGAACTTTTCTATGAGCAGGAAGAAATGGCACTGATGTTTGAGTGGAATCATCCAGTTATGATTTGTTGCTAATGTTTGGAAACTACTACTTTGTTATAGTTTATTGAGCAAATTGAATTTCATGTACTTTACAGGAACCAGAGAAGGTCGTTTTTCATGTAGTGACAGATTCTCTTAACCTCCCAGCAATGTCAATGTGGTTCCTGTTAAATCCTCCTGGGAAAGCAACAGTCCAGGTCCAGAATGTGGACAACTTTGAATGGTTATCGACCAGATATGGTGCTGTTTTGCAGAAGCAAGACTCCCTTGATTCAAGATATACTTCTGCGCTGAACCACCTTCGTTTTTATCTTCCAGATATTTTTCCTTTCCTGAAAAAGATTGTGCTTCTTGATCATGATGTGGTTGTGCAAAGGGATCTAACTGGTCTTTGGAGTTTAAACATGAAAGATAAAGTTAATGCTGCTGTGGAGACTTGTCAGGAAGGCGAGCCTTCTTTCCGTAGGATGGACATGTATATTGACTTCACACGTCCCCTGGTGGCCCAAAGGTTTGATGCAAATGCATGCACCTGGGCATTTGGGATGAACGTGTTTGATCTGCAAGTATGGAGGAAACGGAATTTAACTGGGGTCTATCACAAGTACCTGCATCTGGTAAGGAGATTCTGTGCTTCTTGTACTGTAGCTTGCTTATGGTTTTTATTGGCTAATCATTCTTGTCAGACATGCTAGCTCGTGGACTATTCATCTTCAGTTACCCATCTCTCTCTTTCTCTCTCTCTCTGGGAAATTAGTTCAATACATTTAACGTTCCTGCCCCCATTTGTCAACCGCACTCCCATTCCCTTTTGGCCACCAAAAGGTATACCCGAGAAAAGGACTTTGAGACTGCAGGCTGTTGGTATGGAAGGATCCAGACAATGTTGTTTTCTGTTCTTACCTATGAATGAATATATTGTGATGTGGATATTTATGATATAGCACCAAATCTTAAGCACTTCTAACGCATGTATGGCTATTGTTGATGCAGGGAAACAAGAGGCCAGCGTTTAAAGCTGGTAGTTTGCCCATTGGTTGGATGACTTTCTACAAACAGACAACAGCTTTAGAGAAGAAATGGCACATTCTTGGGTTGGGTTACGATTCTGGTGTCAGGTTGAGTGACATTGAACAAGGAGCTGTTATTCATTTTGATGGAATAATGAAGCCATGGTTGGATATAGGTCTTGATAAGTACAAGCAGTTTTGGAAGCGCCACGTCCTGTACGATCATCCGTACCTCCAACAGTGCAACATCCATGCGTAACCGGATATCACACATTAAGTTCTGACCGTCGTCTTAATCACGTGATTTGCTTCACAAAAGGATGCAGGTCCCCAATTCTTTCTTAATTCTTTCATTTTAGCCTTGTAGATTTGAACTCTATTTTGTTTTTCCAGGCTATAATTTTAGAGAATTGAGAGTAGTTTAGCAATAATAGGATCCAAAATTTTTTTGTCTTGGACAACTTGTGTATATAGCTGATTCTTAAAACGATGTCACGTTCATTGCTTCTGAATTTCGAGGCTTACACATTGTATACGCAATAATTTTCTGCCACTTTAATGCCTTACCATTGAAGGATGAAATTCAACATTTTCTCTGCTGCTGAACAGGGCCACTGCATGATCAAGTAGATGCTATCGCGAAAACTATAGAACCTCGTGGAAACCCCATATTCTTGCAGAGTATATACATTCACAACTAAAAAATACAGTTTCATTTCGAGAAAGGGCTATTGAATTAATTGAACAAGGAAACACAAAAGGAATTCAAGTCGAAACTGCAGCTACAGAAAAGAAATGCAAGCGCGTGATGGGTCAGAAAAGGAATGGTCAGTTCATAGCTGCATGTTGTTCAAGTCAGAGATGTTGTTGCCTTGCAAGATGACACGAGGCATTACAATTTAGATCACATAAGAAAGATTTTCTTCTTTTTGTTTACGAGTGGTGGTGGAACTAGTTCCAATAGAGTACCCAATCCGGAGGGACTTTGGACTAGATGGGCGTAACTAATTTGAGCATGGGCCTCAATGAGTGTAATCCCCAAATTTTCCACCAGAAAATGGGAATAGTTGGGTATGAGCCCGACTCACAGGGGCTCGATAGATAAATTAAGTCTACTGGGAAACAAGACAAGGTCTACCCATTCATAAACGAGGGGCAAAAAACCCCACATAAATGGTTTTTCCTAAATATCTCTTCTTTTTTGGTATCCTTTCCCATTTGGTTCGTTGCTTCGGACCTTCAATAGGCACAAAATCGACGCGGGGATGTGCCTTCATGGACTCAAGGAAGTTCGGAACCGAAAGGCTGGATTCCTCCCACCGTGCGTGTGTGTGTCTGTCATCCTTTTTTCAAACATTATTGATTGGGGTTCATCTTTTCAATTTTCCTTTTTGGTAAGTCGATTCGTGTTTTCATTTTACTTTTCCTGTTAAAATGACTTTTTATTTCATATATAAAACCATAATTTTTTTCAACGTAGTAACAGATAATGTCACACGTGGCAAATTTTGGTTGGGTTTTATAGATGAGGGGCTATCTGCGTATCCATGCTGTGTGGTTCAGCCGCGGGGAGACCTGTAAATGACAACCTGTTCGCATCAATGTTCAGTAATAAACAAAACCTGATATGCCTGCTTGCAACTTATACCTGAGTCCCAGTGCAACTGAGAGGTCTGATCATCTCAAACTTCCCCTGTAAAAGAAAAGAGAAATGGCCTCCATCACTGCTTATACTACAACCTCGTCAGTGGCATGTGCTGCTCTTATGCCCAAGGCATCCATTGGCCGTCCTGCGTGTGCTCTTGGTAAGGTTCTTTGCTTCCCAGTCCTCATTATTAATTTTGGTTACATCTCCGAGAATTTTGGTCGTATCTTGATCCTGATCAACATTGAAAAACCACTTAGTGGAGTTTAAGGTCTCCAAAGTGTACCGTGTTTCCTATTTCAAGTCTTGGTTTCATTGCGACTTGCGAGTCTGAAATTTGAATCACATTTAAAAAAAGAAAAGAAAAGAAAAGAAGAGAAGAACTAGTGAATTAGTGCATCCATATTCTAGCTTTCTTGGAAATAATCTGTCCAAAAAACGTAAATTAACCATAAGCCTTTGCGTGGCGTGAATATCAATGGATCAGGATTGCCAGCGATGACAAAGATGGGAAAGGTGAGGTGTTCCATAGAGGGAAAGTCAGGAGCGGAGGAGAACGAGTCAAAGTTGGGGATGGGTGCATCCTTGATTGCTGCAGCCTGTGCTGCAACCATGTCAAGCCCGGCCGTGGCACTGGTGGATGAGAGGATGACCACAGAAGGACTTGGGCTCCCCTTTGGCTTGAGCAACAACCTACTTGTTTGGATCCTTTTGGGTGTCTTCGCTTTGATTTGGTCCCTCTACGTTGTGTACACCAGCACCCTTGAAGAGGACGAGGAGTCTGGATTGTCTCTATAAACTCCACAACTCTGGTCTTACCAAATTTGTGTAATACTGCTTCCATTTGATGGTGTTTCTGTAAAACTTCCAGTTTTATTGTGTTACTGGGTATTTGGGTTGCCATCTCCTCCTAGCCTTGCTACCATAAATCCATTTGCCTTTTTGTCGTGGTTGTCAATCAAAACCTACTCAAAAAGCTCGAGTTACTGCCAAAGCTAGCGGAGCTAGAAAAATTAGTGGAGATGGAGTGAGAGAGTAGCGATTAATATTTTTTTCCCTTAAAGTAAAACAATCAAGAGCAAAAGTTTATTAAGGAAGTGAACAATGAACACTGGTTCCAGATATTGCAACCGGCAAGATTTAATCTTGCGGGGATATCCAAAAATGACTTCTTCTGCCGGAGAAAGATGGGAAAATGGCCAAATTCATCCCTAAACTTTTTCTTAATGTCGATTTAATCCCTAACTTTTGTTTTCAGCCAATTTGATCTCTAAACTTATATTATGGTTTCAATTAAGGATCTCTACGGCAGCGCCACCACGGAAAATAGATCAAACTCCACATTGACCAATTGAACAGGGGTATTTTAGGAACTTTTAGATATCCCCTCCCTCTATTATCAATTCCTACGGCCTACCAGCCACCTCCCCCTTCTACTCCTACCTTTCTTCTCCAACCTCTCCATTCCCTCCATCTATCATGTCCATCATCTTTGTTGCAGCCCACTAACTAGTTCTTGAGCAGCCCAAAACACAATCCTTCTTACATTGAAGAAGAGGCTTCCTTTGTCAAAAGAGATAGCAGTAAAAGCTTCTCTCTTTCTTGCTTCTACACAGCTATAGCCATGCCAAGTTCAAAGCAGGAATCAAAGGTTTATCCCAAGCAGCCATCAAAATGACTTTTGTTGTGGTGGATGATGAGTGTTAGGCGAAGCCATGAAATCCTTGTTAGTTTCTTGGGAAATTTTGGCCTTGCTGAACTTGTACACTGCAAAAATAATATGGATACATTGAAATAAAGTTTTTCGTAGCTTTGGGTATAAGCGATACATCAAATCTTGCCTCCAGTAGTCCTCCAGTTTTTACATATATCATGTTGTCTTGTAATTTGATTTTTGAATTTTGCCGGAATGTTCTTGCTATCTATGAACATGCCCTTTTTCTTCCATGGACGGAGGATAAAAATGAATTTAAAAAAAAAAGAGAATTTACTCTTCACTCTCCATCCAATCCACCATTTTTGGTATTGCTCCTATATTTGATTTTGTTAATATAATGCTTACAAAACTCAAATTACTACTACTACTTGTCTGTAGAGAATCACTGGATTAGATCCACCTTAATCAACAAAATCATTACTAATGATTACCAAAAAAACAACATACTTCATCATGTCTTGATCTTCACTAGAACAGATCCGATACTTACCCAACATCTAGATTTGGGGCATCATATGGTTTCGGCTTCACCCAATCCAAGGGAGTCTCTTTGCTTAGTTTTTGGAATATCTTGGCCCTCAAATCCCTCCCAAACTCTACCTTCTCTCCATCATTGGCTCCTCTTCGCACCCTTCTCCGTCCCAGAAGTCAAAGTATCGCATCTTGTTCCTGATCGATTCTTAGTTGCAAAATTTATAGAGATGACTGACATAACAGAGAGAGGAGCAAAAGAGGTGGGAGAAGAAGGGCGAGAGAAGGAGGAGGTAGGTGGCAGGTGGTGGAAATTGATGGTGCAAGGAGGACAAATCAAAAGTTCCTAAAATACCCCTGTTTAGTTGATAAATTAGGAGTTTGATTTATTTTTTGTGGTGGCGCGGCGTAGAGATCCTTAATTGAAATCATAATATAAGTTTAGGGATCAAATTGGTCGAAAATAAAAGTCAGGGATTAAATCGACATTAACAAAAAGTTTAGGGATGAATTTGGCTATTTTCTCGAGAAAGAAAGGGGCGGTAACAAATGTGATATTCAAGGTTCTCACTGAATGCGACAATGACAATGACAAAAAAAAAAAAAAGGTTCTCAACCCCAAATAAATTAGGATATAGATAAAATGAAAATGACAAAAAAAAAAAAAAAAAAAAAGAAGGTTCTCACCGAATGCAGACTTCGTCGCAAATTTCATAGTCCAATTTTATTTGTTGTGATGGCAGAACAATTTCAGCAATTCTTGTATACAATCAGCAGCTCGGAGTTCGTATGCAAGTTCTATACAAATTACTTGCACTATATTCACTTAACGGCCAGTGGGTAGCTGGGTTGGAACTGGTCGTTTGTCTTTATAGCAAGATCCCAAGTTTGACATTCACTTGCTACCGTTGCTGAGCATCTTTGGTGCGAGCTCTGTCTAGCTTGAGTGAATTAGTCTAGGTGATTTCGGGATACCCCTCCAAATTGTACCAAAAAAAAATTTCATTTGACGGCTTTCGATTTTTAACTAGAAAGAGAGAAAGGGGGGGGGGGGTGGTGGAACACTTAAGTGGCTTTCAGTTTTTAATGACAAGAAAAGGAAAATAGTTGAATTGGATGGTAAAATAAAAATTTAAGACTTCTCACTTATTTTAAAAAAATCATAGAAGAAAAATGTGTACATCTACTTACAAGCGAAAATGCCAACAGTCATTTGATCTCTTTGGTGATCACCAAGAGTTAAAGGATTCAAATCTTATCTCCGATCATTATTTGCGATTTGTCACTTTTAGTGACTTTCTTTGATGAAATTGTAAAAATGTTATTACAAAAAAAAAAAAAACTTACAAGTGAAAAGGAAAAAATAAAGTTTACACTTATTAATCTGATCCGTCCATTGAAACAAATCAAAATATAAAAGTTCAACCGTCAATTGCTTAACATTGGCAATTAACCCAGGTTGTAACTTTTGTTTTTATTGCCTCGCTTTACTGCTGCTGCTGCTTGAAGTTCAGGTTCAAGTTCAAGAAGGCCAGCCTAAACAAACAGAAAAACATCACTTTGGAAGAATAAAAGGGCATTTGGGTTCCTTGAAGGCTTGACCCCCAACTCTGCAGTCTGCCCGTTCTCTATCCTTTAGAAAACCACTCAAGGTGAGTTGGTCAAATCGCTATATTCTGAAATTGGAACATCATGTTCGTTGTTTTTAGCAGATATCCGTGCTGTTTGCTCCAGTCACGAGTTGGAATTGCGTTTAGATGGTGACATTGATTGTATGCTTTCTGCTTGACTTGAACTACGAGATGCCCAGGACATGTTCGATTGTTTGCCAAGTACATGCTGAACGTGCTAACTCATCCTTATCATACCCTTTTCTCGTTAACTTCCAGAATCTGCCTAGCTGTCCTCCAAATTCTCATTCCAGTAACAACTCACAGTTCATTGGTCAAATCATGGATTGAGGCTTAAGCGGCCGGAATGTAGCATGGCTTTCTCTTTTTTTGCCTTTTATCTTTCAAAAAAGTTCAGAAGTTTTTTGCATGGCATTTCTTGGAGTATCAATCATGTATTTACGTGTATGGCAGGTTTATGTCTTTTCTGTATATGATGAACTCCGCTAAATATTTCCCATTCTCCCTAGGTGGAAATTGCAACATTGGATCAACGTGAAATGTTCTGCTTGAGCGAGATTGAGCACACGTTGCGATTGCCTCCCCATCTCCTTAATCTTCCTCTTGCCGAAGCAATTAAGGGAGAACTCGAAGGTCTGTTTCTAGACAAGGTATGATGGTTGCTCTCCTTAGTTCTTCCTTTACTAGTTTTCCATTTTGGTTTCTGGTTTTGGACTACAAAGCATATGATATTTTGCATAATTACCTGAAGTGGCTCATGTTATATGTGGTGTTTGTTATCCAAGGTTATTGCAAAATTGGGGCTTTGTATATCTGTGTACGATATTAGGTCAATTGATGGCGGCTTTATCTTTCCGGGAGATGGCGCTTCAACTTATACGGTATTTCTATTGTGATATATATTACGATCTTTCTCTCAGTAATTAGAGGACTGTTTTTTATTGTTACTATCTGGTCTAGGTAATATTACATTAGCTAAAGAAAATTCACACATACGCATTACTTTTATCATGCATAATCAGGCAAATATCTACAACAAAACTGTACGCATGCATGCTTGAAGGTGCAGCTCAAGACAAATGAATATTTCATTGTCAGTTTGTTGGACTGTCCAGTATTTAATGAACTAACAAATACAGGATCTTGGTTTTTGTCAGGTGAGGTTCAGACTGCTAATGTTTCGCCCCTTTCTAGGAGAGGTTATTTCCGCAAGACTTAAAGAGTCTTCCTCCACCGGTTTACGCTGTATGTTTTAAGATTACTTTATGCATATTGAGCATACTGATTCTCGGGACAATTTTTCCTATTCTCAGTTGTTTTTCTGAGCATAAAATAGGCACTTGGAATGGTGGCTCTAATAACAGAATAGAGTCTAAACTGTCACAGCAAGTTGAGATCTTGAAGGCTTTGATGGAGCATTTATACGTTGTAACGTGCCACTGAATGTATATTGGCTTCATTTTGGTAGTAAATTAACTCGTCGAGTTTTTGAATCTCCTAGATATTTTTCAATCAAATAATCATCTTAAGGTATGATCTGCTTGTTTGAATGAAAAGCATGTCATTTTACATCCTGGTTGGAGGCATTCCTTCAGCTATTCTCTGTGAAGATCAATTTTATTCTTAGGGCTTCTGTTTTCTGCAATTACTCAGGATCAACTTTTCATGAGTCATGACTAATGACTGGGAATTTGTGCTCGCAGTATCACTTGGATTTTTTGATGACATATACATACCTAGAGCTTTGTTACCAAGTCCCTCACATGATGAGCCTGATCCAGAAGATAAGTGAGCATACGATCTAATTAGTACCCTCGAGGACAGTATTCAGTTGATTATCTTCAATACCATGAATTCATTATGAAGCCTAACTCCCCTACATCTGTGTCAATGCCCATCACAGGAACCAGGTCAGGTGGATATGGGAGTTTAATGAACAAAATTACCCTATCGATGGCATGGATGAGGTTTCTTTTGTGTTTTGATGGTCGTCACTTGCCGAATATTGGTTGAAACTCATGCAACACACTTTGAATTTGATTCTGGTGGTTGATTGCAGATTAGATTCCGGGTTCACAGCATTCAGTATCCTTCACTACCACTGGAGCAAGATGATGGTTCAAAACCTTTCGCCCCTATGCTGATCACTGTAAGGAAGCCATTCAACTTGGATTTTTCTATTACGGATTTCATGCTGGTGATTTTCCTTTTTGGTTTACTTTTCGTACCTTGATTTTCTTCTATTTATGGCCAACAATTTTCTCCAAAAAAAATCCTGTCTTTTGCACATGCAACACATGCAAGTGACCAGTGGATTTGAATATCGCTGTGTTGGTATTAACAGGGATCACTTGATGCTGATGGTTTGGGTCCCATTGCATGGTGGGTTTAACATGCTCTGGGGTGGTGATCTTTTATTGTTAGAAGAAGTTAACACAGTCAGTTGATTACTCAAGCAGCAAGCATGACCCTTCTTATATCTCTACATGAGGACATTGAACAAGAGTGCTTTCGTAGACCTTTTTAATCTCTTGTCATGACAGTCCTTTACAGCTGTCTGTCCAGTTTTCCCTTGTATTTGGGGTTTGTGTTAGGCTCGAGGGAAAGATTACTTGCATTCATAATTGGTTGCAATTCGTTGAGGCAGGAAAAGCAAGATAATATATCGTTTACTACAGAAACTCTTAACCAGAAGTTCGTATGTTAATTGTAAACTATGGGATTATATTTCGCGTTGCTGTAAGTGGTTTGATTTTGATCACTAGTTCTGGTTCATTTCACGTCTCCATGCAGAGTTTTGTTTTCTTGTTTCTGTTTTTGTTTTTTCGAGGGAGCAGAAAAGCAGGAAAAGAAAATAATACCTAATAGTTTTATAACCAAAACAACATAAAAATTGGTCTATAAAAAATTATCTTTAATTCCTTTGTATGGAGTGTTAATGACAATCTGCCCTAGAAGTCTCTTCCACTTGAATTGCTGTTGCCTTGGCTATTGTGTGTGTTTCATGTACATTAGTTGAGAACTTTCCAAATCCTCTTGGAACCCCTTCAGTTGTATCTTGGAACTTGTCGAAATTGTGGTGAATTTATTTATTTTTTTTCATAAAATGCTTATCTAACCGAATATGGATAAGAGTAAATTTTATATACACTCTCAGTGTATACACTATCACCGTTAGATTCATGATACATGTGCAAAATTTGGATTTCAAAACTCAATTTTGCATAGTTATCATTCATCTAATATTAACAGTATAAGAAAGATTAATACGATAGATAATGTATATGATTGAAATTAAATTTCCTTTCTTTTTTTTTTTTTGGCATTAACTAGGAGAAGAAAAATTAAGCTGAGCATGAGTGTTGGCTTATCATACCAAAATAATGACGGTCTGTTTGGTTGCATATGGAGATCAACTTGATCACTATGTGATGTTACACTAGTAGAATGTATTCCATATGTGTGAAATTTAGATTTTGTACATTTAATCATATTTGTGTGTGTAAATCTATTAGTTTATTCATTGTTAATGTAGATTTGAAACAAAAAAAAATCTTGTAACATGTATCGAAAAGCTTATAGGACTAATTCAATGTTTGACAGTAAAATAAAATGAAGAAAAAATTACTTGAACGGTCATTAATTTTTTTGAATAATAGAGTTTTAGCTATTTAACTTTTAAAAGTATGTATTTATCCATTAAACTATTAAATGTATAAATTTCGGGTAATTTCATCTGTTTTTATCATAAAAACTGTCAGATATAAGATTAGATTCGCACGAGTCACAAAACATAATCAAATCTAGCAGATTTAATGGTGAAAATAAACAAAATGACCCAAAATTGATCAGACTTAATAGTAAATACATAGTATTAAAAATTGAGTGACTAAAATTATAATATTCAAAATGTTCAATGGCTGTTCAGATAATTTGCTCAGAGTGAAAACGTAAGCACAGAAGTGGCATATGATTATACAAAGAAAAGAAAAAAGGAAATTGAAAGGCTGGCAAGTATAAATTGGAGTTGTCCGCCACTGTCGCATGAGAACCTCCTCCTTGGGAGTTGGGAGCAAGGATAGAAGAAGAGAAGAAGAAAAGCGGGGAATGGCAACATCTCTTAGTACACCCAAGCTAAGCACTACCCTCACTTTCCAAACCCTTTCGCTCTGCAAAAAGTTCCCAAATTTTCCCTCCTATCAATTCAGAACCCTAGACGTTGGCGTTTTTCTCTCTAGCGGCCGATGGAGCCACTCCTTTCTACGCTGCCGCCCCATCACCACCACTTCTCCCCGGGCCGAATCTACAAATGGTGCTGGCTCCGAGCCAGCTCGTAACTACGACTTTGACCTCTTCACCATTGGCGCTGGTAGCGGCGGTGTCAGAGCTTCGCGCTTCGCTGCCAATTTCGGGGCTTCTGTTGCCGTTTGTGAGCTTCCTTTCTCCACTGTCTCCTCTGATATCACCGGCGGCGTCGGCGGCACGTATAGTTCCTCAACTTTTTCTTCTTATTTTCCGCTAAGCAATTTTAACAGCGTACCATCTTATGTCGATTCTGGGATCATCAAAGTGCATAGGCTAGGCTGTTTTTGAGTTGTCAAGCATTTTATGCATTTTAACCAAGGGTATGGTTGATACTCTTGTTTAATTGATTTTTTTATATAAAAGGGCAGATTTTGATTATATTTTATAGATGAGAATGGCTGTAATTGTCACAAGTGTGTCTAGCCGATTGACCATAAATACTTTGCTTGTTTCCTAAATATTCCTGGTTAATTTCTCACTAAAGGTGTGTTCTTCGTGGATGCGTACCGAAGAAGCTACTAGTCTATGCGTCAAAGTATTCTCATGAATTTGAAGAGAGTTGTAGTTTTGGATGGAACTATGAAACTGAGCCCAAACATGATTGGAGTACCCTGATTGCGAACAAAAATGCAGAATTGCAGCGCCTAAATGGCATCTACAAGAACATTTTGAAAAATGCTGGTGTTCAGTTGATTGAAGGACGAGGAAAGGTTGGGTGATCTTCCGTGCTTAGCTCATTTTTTTAGAGACATTGTTCCTGTCAGACACTATGATTGTTATTAAAAGGAGTAAAGAACTAATTTGGATGGCCTTCTATGCGCAGGTTGTGGACCCTCACACAGTGAATGTCAATGGAAAACTCTACTCTGCAAAAAACATACTTATTTCAGTTGGAGGACGCCCATTTATTCCAGATATTCCTGGAAGTGAATTTGCTATTGATTCTGATGCAGCCCTCGATTTGCCATCAAAACCCACAAAAATTGCAATAGTTGGTGGTGGATATATAGCTGTTGAGTTTGCTGGCATTTTCAATGGCTTGTCAAGTGAAGTCCATGTATTTATAAGACAGAAGAAAGTCTTGAGGGGCTTTGACGAAGAGGTGAGGACATGGCATTAGTTTTGGAGCCTTTTATCTGTACTTCATCCCAACATATTTACTGATATAGCAGAGCTCTTCATTTTTGAATTTTGCAGATCAGGGATTTTGTCGGAGAACAGATGGCATTGAGAGGAATTGAGTTCCACTCCGAAGAGTCACCTCAGGCTGTTGAAAAATCATCAGATGGCACGTTCTCTTTGAAGACAAACAAAGGAACAGTGGACGGTTTCTCTCATATCATGTTTGCAACAGGACGTAAACCAAATACAAGGGTTAGTCCTTTGTTCTGTTTGACTAACTATTCTATCTGGGACTGCAACCTTTGGGAAATGGGATGGCATTATAGTTTGGATGTTGCCTGTTTGTTGTCCTTCCCTGGATTATTTTTGTTGTTCTGTTTTTTTGATCTCTGTTCTTCATAAACATGGATGCTTGCAATGGGAAGAGTTAAAACCTTTACTTTCGGGAAATCGGCTAGCTTAGAAGTTGCATTAGCTAGCTGCGAGTGGAATGTAATTTAGATGTTAAGCTATTGACTTGCATGGCAGAATTTGGGACTGGAGGATGTTGGAGTCAAATTGACAAAAAATGGAGCAATTGAGGTATTTTATCCATGTTTTCACTGTTTTCTTGCCCCCAGTATCATATACCTATTCCCAAGTGCATATAGGTAATTCTTGGTTTCCTCATTAGGTTGATGAATATTCCCGTTCGTCAGTTCCATCAATTTGGGCTGTTGGAGATGCTACTGATAGGGTAAATTTGACTCCAGTCGCCTTAATGGAGGGTGGGGCACTGGCAAAAACTATTTTTGCTAATGAGCCAACTAGACCAGATTACAGGTGCTCATCATGTCTTGTCTCAATCTCTTTGGTGGGTTCTGAGTGTGAATAATCCTCGGAAAAAAAGCATATAAAGTTGATTTCTGTTCGTGCTACTTTGGTACTGCTATTGCCAATATGCTGTGTGCCTCTCTAACCAGGTTTTTCTTTTCTTTGAGCAGAGCTATACCATCTGCCGTGTTTTCACAGCCACCAATTGGGCAAGTTGGTCTCACTGAAGAACAGGTTGGCAAATTTTGAAATTACGTGCAAAAGCTACGATTGTCTGTTAAATGTAACTTGTTAAGGTTTTACAGGCCATAAAAGAATATGGTGACGTTGATATTTTCACAGCAAACTTCAGGCCATTAAAAGCAACTCTCTCTGGTCTTCCAGATCGAGTTTTTATCAAGCTTATAGTATGTGCAAAGACAGACATTGTCCTGGGGTTGCACATGTGTGGAGATGACGCCCCAGAAATTGTGCAGGTTGCTGTCTTCCTTTGGTTACACCCGCTCATCTTGATAATATGTTTCATAGAGGATCTATGGATGATATAATGTGGTTCTTGTATGAAACTCCAGGGTTTTGCAGTGGCAGTGAAATCTGGCTTGACAAAATCAGATTTTGATGCAACAGTTGGTATTCACCCAACAACGGCAGAGGAGCTTGTCACAATGAGGACACCAGCACGAAAGGTTCGAAGGAGTGTGCCTGAGGTCAGTCTTTGGCTATACCTTAATCTGGATCAAATTAACTGCCCTCCCTGATCACCTTTTTATTAGACAAAGCCCTGATCGGTTTAATTAACCTCAGATATTTGAGATCTTTACCTTACTACTCTTGCTAACACTCTGTCTATTATGTAAAAATTTTGAAATTTTGAGTATACTGTTATTAAACAAGAAATTTACCAAAAAATAAGTATCTTAAAATAACAAGGATCCTCTTTGTATCAACTCTAGAGATCCCTCCCCCTTCCCCCTCCACACCAAAAAAACAGTCTTGGTTTAGGCATTACAATTCTAGCAGCTGTTTTACAGTGAAAAATAAGTATCTTAAATTACAAGGATCCTCTTTGTCTCAACCCTAGAGATCCCTCACCCCTCCCTTCTCCACACAAAAAGAACAAAGTCTTGGTTTAGGCATTATAATTCTAGCAGCTGTTTTACAAGGAGTATCTTAAATTACAAGGGTCTTATTTGTCTCAACTCTAGAGATCCCTCCCCCATCCCTCCTCCACACAAAAAGAACAAAGTCTTGGTTTACGCATTATAATTCTGGTAGCTGTTTTACCAGAATTTACGTTTAGCACCAATTAGTTGTTACATTTTTCTTGTGCAGTTTGCTTCCAGCCTAGAGCCAGTATTTTTCTCATTGCTGCTGCTTTCTTCTGAGCCTTAACTTATACAATTGAATTTATGTTTTCATCCCTCAGGGAAAGACAGACTCCGAGATTAAAGCCGCTGCTGGAGTTTGAACTAGTTGGCCAAGCAATTTGTGCGATGCATAACATTCAAAGTTTGGAGGGGTAAGAGCATGGTTAACAAATAATCTTTTTGGGTTGTTGATGCTACTTTTTTTCTAGTTTAACCTATTCATGTGTTTTCCTGTTTCCGCACCTGTGTTTCTTTTATTTGTTCTTTTTTTTTGGGATGGAAGTGAAACATCTTACTATTGAGAGAAAAGGGTATGGTGTAGACATTTTTTGTCACTTTTTGTTTTTCCTTATTTACCCTCCCACTAAAATGCTAATTAGCAGAAACCTCCAATAACCACCAATAACTTCTTTTTCCTTTTCTGTTTAACAACACAAAAAAAAAATTCACATTACACAACCTAATAAAACCTTTTAATAACTGCTTATTGTTTTTCCTTATAATTTTTTTTAATTTGAACACGCAAAGGGCGTGCATTTCCCACTAGTTACATTTAAAAGAAGCGGCAAAGCTACTGTTTTAAATCATATCTATCATTTTTCCAACTATGCATAACGTCATGACATTTTGTTGAATGTTGAATGGTGATCATTCTTGAAAATGCTTCTGTTCTGCTATTGATTTCCAGCTGACGCTCTCAGCTGATTAGGGAATCCAATTTTTCCAAGTGGTTTTTTATTTTCTTAGGTTGTTTTGGAAGCTAATTGAAACTCCTCACAACCTTTTGAATGGTGTAAAATGAGTGCAGCTAGACAATTATACTGGAAAAGTTGTTCCTGCTCTCTAATTGGGATTACGTCATGTCATTGTCAAAAACTTATGAAAGTAATGGCGTTCATCTTCTTTCACTTAATTTACCCGCATCCAGAGGCCACTTCGTTATTGCGGACAATAGTTGTTAAATGGAATTCAGGGTTAGGGAAGGAAAAGGTTCAACATCTTCTAGTGTCCTTGATCAGAAAATATTGATGATCACTTCTAGGTCGTTATGGTGTAGGAAAATGGCGAAGATCATGATGAATATCAGCACTCTAGCACCTTCTCCACTATGTTTATATACTCGAATGAATAATAGTTCTACAAGTGATGGATTTTATTTTTTTTTCCTTTCCATGTCCTTGTCATTCTGGAGTTAATCTTTCAGACAAGGAAACTTAACAGTGCCTGGTGGATATAGAAAGTACGGAAGTCATTCGCAATCAACAGTTGGCGTGGAAGTTTTATGCATGGCAGATCCGTGAGATCTCCCCTACATCACGTTGTACATAAGATGTCCCTGACATGATATTATTATTGTCTGGAGCAGCCACGATGGTGGTGAAGTCAACCGGTGTTTGTAGATTTACTTTGTTGAATAATTTGCAAGATTGCCTGCAAATAGAGCAGTTAATAGGTTCTCTTCCCTTTGGTGATTGAGCTAGGAACGAAATTTATAAAGGACTTGTTAAACCAGATTTCGTGAGTGTATAAGAACGGTTCTGTTACAAGTGTTTCTTTTATATTTAGTAAATTTTCTAGTGACGGAACGTGATGGCGTAACCTATTGAAATGTGGCATTTTCTGGCAGGGCTCATCCTTGGAGTACCCCACGGAATTGCCTAGAAACAATAATGGCGGTGTTCCTTTATATAGGCCCTAGATTTTCAATTCACGTACCATGACATGAGAAATGTACGCTAATATGTATTTGATCATTTGTTCTCGGTAGTGTCTTTTATAGTGTCCTTTATTGGTAAACGAACCCATGCAAGCCCACGACTGGTTTTGAGGTTGCGGGATGGATCAAACTGGATGATGTCGACAAACTAGATGTAATTACTGGCCTTTGACAGGACGGGCTTTATAAGGCTCAAGGCAATTTTCAGGTCGAGCGATACCTCAAATTGGTGTTTATTCGTGGATTAATTTGACGTACACTGGTTAAGATAAGATTATACCTTTTCAAGTATGCTACTGCATCTTGAACAAGATTTTATTCAACATGCGATCATTCGTGCGATTTGATTTTCTAACGCTGGAGGAAGAGCGGCTCATCAAGAATTTAATCGAACTGTGAAAAGATCACACTCCGGTTTGAAGAATCAGAGCAGAACTTTTTCATTTCTCTCCTTTGACAAGTCTCTGACCTCCGAAGGCTAATCAAACTCCGGCAAATTATACAAACCCATGCTAATTTGGAAGACGGCTAAGTTGGCTGAGATGAATGTGGATGTCCCCGGGGTGATCATCGAGCCTGGGGCGTTCTGCTTGGACCCACCGGCCCTCCCTGTTTCTTACCATCCCTTTGTTCTCAACTTGCCTCCAATTCGGTGGGATACAGTGGTGATCCTTTAAGAAATCGCACGCCTTATTCACCAGAGCAATGTCCCTTCCACTCGCAAGCACAAACCTTTGCCCTTTTCCATGGTATCTGCATCACACAGTAGTATTTGCGTAGGCAAAACGATGTGGAAAGCTAAAAAAAAAAAAAAAAAGGAACTAGAGCTTGCCAAGTTTTTCCAACCCCAAAAAAATAAAAAAGCCAATAAAGCTATGGTTCCACCAGGTCAAGACGCAAATAAAGATGCTTTAAACATGGATGCCTGCAATCTTTCACTTTCAATTGCCGGACCCAGATCGTGAAAGCCCTTTTGGACGATATGATATACTACTACTCTAATTCTTTGGTCCTCCGACTGATTGAAAATGAAGTGGTTCTCATCTGAAATGGCATGTATCTATGCCACGACAAATAGCAAATATTATTAATATCATTGCTAAAATTTGGCTCTTTTTGTGTCTTTTCCATTTACGATGACTTCATCCCTGTATTTTGATTGTTATTTTTAAGACTTGACAGAAAAATAACCAGTCAAATGTGTATTTCCACGACAGGGAGGACTTTTTCACCCTAGCTGGACTAGCCATTAGTCTCTAGTCTTGTCTTGGCCGCATTGGTACGTTGTTTAATCGCACCATGAAGTATGAATGCATTATTAAGGATCACAGCAGGTGGAAACTAGAAAGTGTGACTCACCCATCAAGCAAGTGCAGATGAGCCTCCAAGTTATGGGCACAGACGGGATCCGTGGTAGGCTTGAGAAAGGGAGAGTTGTTGTGATCCAGGGCCAGCTCCACACCAACGTGCGAGTAACTCCACGGCAATCCCTCCGCCAACTTCATAACCACCGGCGGCACATTTTCGTTGAAAAACAAACCGGGAGACTTGGGCACCACGTCGTGAACATTGACCACCCTCAGGACTTTTAGCCCGAGCCCTTCCACTCTTTGCTTAAACCTAACATTCCCGACTCTTGGGCCTGAAAACGAATACACGCAAACCGGCACTCCCCGACTGTCTCGACCAACGTTTATCCCCGTCTCAACGATGTCGTATCCGCTCAATGTCGCCAAAGCACTCCCCAAACTGTGCCCCGTTATACTAATGCTCAGTTCCTCCTCCTCGTCGGAATACATTTCTATCAATCTTTTGACCTCGGTCAGAATTTGCTCCCGTGCTGAGAACTTGCAGAAGCGGCAGCTCTCGTCCTTGTCAGTATAGAGATCCAGGAATCCCGACTCAACCTTCACAGTTGGATCGGGACACGGAATTTTATCAGATGAAATTGGCCTGAGGAAGTCCATCATGTCAGCTATCCACTCCAGCCGGGTGACTGTTCCCCTCCAGGCGATGCATATGTCGCGCCGCCCTAACTTCCTGGAGGTTTCGTCGTTGGACACCGCCACATAGCCTATCCAGTTTGCATTCTTGCTCCAGACTTTAGGCCATCGGGATTGCTTGAAAAAATTTGGGAGATTAATGTTAGATGTCGCGTAGAGGTAACGGGTGACGTCGTACCCATACTGCAGCATTTCCAGCTCCTCGAAGAACTTTGTGCGGGTGAATTTGCAGCTTCCGCAATATATGGAGTAAGGATCAAAGTCGAAAGCATCGTAACAAGCCTGAGCCATCTCTCCGTAACGGATTAGCTCAGTGCGTAAAAGTGGATCCATGGGATCAAGCATGCCGACCCAGTCGTTTTCGCCGTGCATATCCCTCCAGCAATCCGCTAATTTCCTTCCAATCTCGGCAGCGAGTTGGTTGTTAATGTCATGATGTTCGTCCAGCAAACTGGTTCCTTCTTCCAACTCTGTAGCGACGGATGAGAAGTGGGATTGATTAGTTTTAGAGGTGGCTCGTCCGAGCACCAGAGATGCGAGCTTATGATTCCTGTTGCTGGATTCTTTGCGCTGATACTGCAGCTGCTTTTTGCAGAAAACGGAATGATAAAGTGAAAACTGTTTTGGAGTTTCAAAGGCAGCGAGCTGTAATACATCTTGCTTGAAGGAAACTGGAGGCGTCTTGCATAGGGAGAGAGCCATACTTGGCTGATGAATATTCAGCCTCAACAAAAGGATGATGGAGCGCGGAGGAGTAATCAAATACTATTACTAGTTTTATACTACACCTGATATGGTTGGAACTTGGAACCTGGAAACTGGAATGACTGGCTGGATGGGGTTTGAGTACACTTCAGATCAGTGACACATAAATACAAAAAAAATTAATTAGTGTCTGATCGGATTCTATGCATACACATATACCTATACATACATACGTACGTACGTAGGCCAATCCTATGCAAGTATACAACTAACGTAGTCTATAGCATTCATCATCTGGTTGGATGATTCTCAACGCTTCAGCACTAATTATCTCTTTTTAATTCAAGTCCTCGTTTGGAGTGAGACTCTTCCATGATCTTCAAGAATCCACCGAGGCATTAATTATTATCAAGGAAAATGCTCGTTAACTTGCTCCCAATGTCGAATTTAACTCTAAAAGAGTAACTTTACTATGCGCATCCATTCCTATGGAGTCAACTTTAGGAACATGATCCACATACCATTACAGACTCTTTTGCGATCAAAGTTGCGAAATCCTGAGGGTTTATGACCATGCTGATGCTGCTTGTCATTTACGGAAGGTCGGGGGATGATTAATTGTGGTTGCTCATGGTCATGGTCCTCCCCCAGCTAGCCCATAATGTTTGCTGGAGCATGCGTTGGACCTCTACTATGCACTTTCTTTTTTCTGTTGTTTGATGGCTATCTGTCCCCCTTGTCCGTGAATTAGCTGACAACATTTTCTGCTGAGATGATTGAATCCTCAATGAAGTTATTAAAGCTGATATCTCACCATTCTGTGTGTTTGTATATTGTTTCGACTACAATATGTAAGATCTCACCCGATGCCTTTTTTAAGAATTTTTTTTTTTTAAAAAAGTAAAGCAAGTAGAAATTTCCAATTATAATGAATCAGATATAAAGAAAAGAAATTAGCCTGTTTGTTGTGTATTTCGCTATGATAGCTGGAGTTTAATATATAAAAGAAAGAAAGATTTATTCTGGCAATTTAATTATCCGACCGAAAAGAGAAATCCTCTGACTCCAAGATATGACTATGACGACGTTCCAAGAAACATCCAACTCTTCAGTCTTCATTGCATGTGGTTATTGAGTTTCAGAAATCGGAAGTGAACAAGTATTTATTTAGTAGTAAAATTTTTTTGGTCCTTCGGGGAAGTTCAATGGTCAAGGAAATGAGACATGTATCCTGTTTAATTTATTGGTTTGATGCAGCACATGGTTCCTCTTCACAATTTAATGGTTTGGTAGGCTTAAGAGAGTTATATTATAGTGTGTGTATATGACGTGGTTTTTGGTGATCAAAATGAAAAGGCATTAAAACTACTTAAACAAAGGGCAGGCATGGGTGTAGCATAGTCACTGGTTATTGGCGTCTTAGCCTCCCAATCAAATAGAGAATGGTAGGTAGACTCGTTATTAGTTTTCAAAAGGTTCTCGTGACTACCGCCTTTTGTCCGGCAAGCAAGTTTTTGGCCAAATTTGCCTGTTACTGGTTTTTTAACAAGTTTAATTACAGTAATCTAAAAAGATTTTTCAAAATTTTTAAATTATACATTTCAAAATATCAAAAAAGTTACGCACTTCAAAAAAATTTTTCTACAACTTTTACAGTAAAATTTTAGACAAGATCTAAAAAACTCACTTATCAAACGAGACCTACGTCTCTGTACGAAACATCCATCTATCTTCATACCATATACTACTGCTTACTTAGTATACATGAACACTGCCCAATTAATATTGTCCGCAGCCACTAATTTTTTTTGTTCTTTTATTGTAGCAACTTAATGCAAGCACGCACATGCTTGCTTGTTGTTCCGAGGTTAATTAATTTACGCAATCGATGAGGTTGGTCCGCTGTTGCTCTCATTCTTCGTTTTTAGATATATTAATTTGAATGAATGATTGAAATAGGTAGAAGCAGTACGTACGTACGAGACTAATTAATACAACCTTGCCCTGGTTAAAGAAAAGAAACACAACCATCCACCGTCCCAGTCGTTGAGAAATGATGCTGACCCGGTCCCCCCACCACCAAGCCCCCCTCAAAAAAAAAAAAAAAAAAAAAAAAATCTAAAGGTGATTAAAAGAAGTCAAGGATTGGAGTGAAATCTTCGAGCAGGCAGCTGTATATATTCTCGTTCTTGCGGACCACAAAAGCGAAAACAAAATAGCGAAATTTTCTGCTTAAGATTTTTTTTTTTTTTTTTTTTTTTTGGAAAGAAAAAAAGTATTGGATTGGAATTTGGATCCAAGGAGTTGATCCAAGTAATTGATTTAATTAGTTTGGTGACAGCTTTCAAGGATTTCGAGTACGTGCATGATTTATTTGATCCAGTTACTGTAGCATTTTTTGTGATGTGATGTATGTGAGATAAAAAGGTGATTGGAAATTGTGTGTGTGATGTAAGCAAAACAAAATCTGAAATAAATCTTGCAAACTTTCTTTGTCCAAACAAATCTGACTGTTTAGAGAAACCCCATGTGGGATTTCAAAGTTAATCTTGTTGTGACGACGAGGATAACATATTTTAATTTCCTCAAAAATAAAATAATTGAACTCCCTTTGGTGCTATACAGCCAACCGTGTGGGCGCAGTAACATCTGACAAAAGAAAAAGAAGGAATCAGGAAGCAGAAATTAGGCGATGATGTTGTTTGCTGTTATCGTGTTCAGAATCGGAGTGATCATAGAGTTTGGGGCGATCAGGCTGCACCCATCTCCCGTCTTTGTTCTTCACCATCCCTTTATTCTCATTCTGCCTCCAGTGCGGCGGAATGCGGTGATGATCCTTCAAGAAGTCGCAGTCTTTGTTCACCAGTGCAGGATCTCTTCCGGTTGCCAGCACAAATCTATGCCCTTTTCCATGGTATCTGCACCCACCATCGATCAGAAGTTAACTCGTTCTATGAAATCATTTATTCCCGCCCGAGTACTGGCAAATGGCTTCTTTTTCTTCTTCTATAATTTTTTTTTTTTTTTTGAAAAAAGAGAGAGAGCGAGATTTTGAGTACGTGAAGGAGGAGAGACTAACCCGTCGAGTAGATGCAGGTGAGCTTCGAGGTTGTGAGCACAGCCAGGGTCAGCATTTGGTTTCAGGAATGGCGAGTTCTTATGATCCAAGGCCAGCTCCACCCCCACGTGGGAGTAACTCCAAGGCAGGCCTTGGGCCAATTTCATCACCATTGCCGGCACCTTTTCGTTGAAAAAAATTCCAGGCGATTTAGGCACCAGATCATGAACATTTACCACCCTCAGCACCTTCACCCCCAGCAGTTCAAGTCTCTCCTTGAACCTCACATTCCCAACTCTGGGCCCTGAGAACGAAAACACGCATACAGGGATTGCGCTGCTATCCTCCCTTACATGTACGCCCGTCTCAGCAATATCATATGCACTCAACACCGCCAGTGCGCTGCCCAAGCTGTGGCCTGTAATTGTCATGCTTATTTCCTCGTTGCGGTGCATATTCACCAGCCTCTTTAGCTCGCCCAGAATTTGTTCTCTAGCTGAATACCTGCAAAATCGACAGCTTTCGTCCTTGTCAGTATAGAGATCCACAAAGCCTGATTCCACTTTAACCCCTGGATCAGGGCAGGGAATCTTATCTGCAGAGATTGGTTTTAGGAAGTCCATCATATCTGCTATCCATTCTAGGCGCGTCACCGTCCCCCTCCAGGCAACAGTTATGTCGCGACGGCCTAATCGTTTTGTTGTTTCGGCGTTTGACACGGCTATGTATCCTATCCAATTAGCGTTTTTGCTCCAAACCTTAGGCCACCTCGATTTCTTGAAGAAATTTGGGAGATTAATGTTAGACGTAGCATAGATATACCGAGTTACCTCGTACCCATGCTCCGTCATCCCCAAACTCCGGAAGAATTTATGACGTTCAAACCTGCAAGTTCCACAGTACTTGGAAAAGGGATCAAAGTCGAAAGCATCGTAACAAGCTTGAGCCATCTCGCCGTACCGGATGAGCTCAGTTCGGAGCAGTGGATCCATTGGGTCAAGCTGTCCTGCCCAATCATCTTCTCCGTGTATATATCTCCACGCATCCGCTACCGATTGCTTCTCCGGCAACTTCTCAGTAACGTCATCGTGATTTTCATGAAGCTCATTAATTGCCTGTGACAAGCAAGGATCACTTGGTTTTCCTATCAAATTCAAGACGCACCTTTTCTGATTTCCTCTTTTCACCAAGCCCTTCTTGATTTGAGATGTTTGGCCAAAATGCACACCTGCTCCTGCAGGGACATTCTTAACATCAGTAGGCACGCAGTGCCCAAATTGCAAGATTCTAGAGGAAAGGGATAAATGATGCAGAGAGAGGGCCATTGCAAGCCAGCTCGATCAGACACGAGCAGAGAAGTTGGTATGAAATGAGGGTCGAAACGGCCAAAGGATATATATTATACGGCTGTAGTGTACATACTTGGCTTGGGAGTCAGCTGATGAGCTTGCGTACGAACCCTTGGACGTTGGACACCCGATTTCTTCTTTGACTGAATGCACCGTTAAAATAATCATCTGCATGCGCCTTGTTCAGGTGCACCGATTCCCACTGGCCGGACCTTGAAAAATTATTCAACGTGATAAAAACTTATTGAGCGAAGTACATGATTTGTCCTTTAAAAAATACTCATGTATCTCGTGCAATGAATACTTGCATGCTACGTCATTTTAAGTGGTTGTTGAACTTCGATGCCATACATGTGCACGTAATTGGCTGGAAGTATCATCAGATCAATGTGTGCCCTGTGCGAGCGATGGTTGAGAAAAACTTAGAAATGCAAACGAGTCCAGTCAAGTTTCGATTTAATTTTATCGAATTTTCAATATAAAGTTCGAAGTCGAGTTCAATCTCAAATTTTAACCAAATCGAGCACGAGCTGAAAAAAATAAAATATTTTATTTTATTTTTTAAAAAATGAACAAAATAGTAATTTTTCTTAATAAATAATAAAATATTGTGAATATATATATATTTTTTTTATTATTAAATAAAATTTATATATAAAATCAAGTTAAATACCTTTGAATTCGAGTTCGAACTTGGGCTCTACTCGAGTTTAACGTTGATCGAGTTCGAGTCGAGTTTTGAATCGAACTGTTAGTAAGCCGTTCGACTCGTATGTAGCCCTAATTGAGATAATAATTCAATTATAAACTACATAAATAATGACAATAGTTAAACAATCTAAGTAAATGCGATCAAAGGGTTAATCATTATTGCTACTGATATTTCTGTGCTAAAGCTGTGTGGCTGTATGCCTTCTGAAATGTAAGATTACGTGATTTCTCTTTTAATTTTTCTTTTCCCCTTCGGAAGTAGTCAGAATGTACATAGTATGATTAGTAGCAGTGCGTATTTACTTGTTTCTTATCATCCAAACAATTGAAGGAAATACATTTGCTTTTCTCTGGTGCCGGGGTAACTAATGATTTTAAGTGCAACTGGCTCGAGCTATTCAGTCTGACGAATTAGCAATTGGCTCAAGCCATTCGTTTATGCACTCGATTAGGAAGAACTCATCAATTGCCCTTGTACGTAAAGACAAGAAGGGAGGTCAATGCAACTAATTAATGGAGTATGTATATGTGTTCTACGTATAGTTCTGACGGAGAAAATTAGTAGTAGTGTATATAGCATACTCTACAGAAGCTTGTATAAGATAGGGTTTTCACAATTGTAATTATATATGACGAAACACCGTGATGGTTAGTATAATACCAACGTTCCACTTGCAAATTTTAAACGGTATAATATATAATATGCCGAAAGGACATTGTTAAGAGCCAATGTTGTAAATTAGCATCCCATATTTTCGCGATCATTGTTTAGGAGCCACAAAAAAAAAAAAACCAAAGAAACCCTTCGCACCTCCTAAAGAACGCATCCATGAAATCGATGGTAGTATTAATTTGCGATATTAACTCTGTAATTTGGAAGAACTAGTCGAAACACCTGTGCTACGCACAGTATATCATGTTTTTGGAAGAAATTATAATCGACGAAGGAATTTAAAAAGAGTAAGAAATGTACGTAATTGTTTGTATAATTTATGGCACACGAAAGTATAGTTAAAAAATGTGATTTTGTAGCAATAGTTCAATATATGATAAAAACATCCCCATTATTTATAAACTACCGCATTGATGGAAGTTAAATCTTGAAAAAAAAAAGTAGAAATCTATATCATAAATTGAGCGACATAAGGGTTCAATTATATGTAACTAAATATTTAATTTAATAAGTAAATGAAATACTTACAAATATTTTACATTCGATTTGATAATCTTCTATGAAGGTGGAAACATTCTTCACACCAATTAACTCTGAGTACGAATGCCAGATTGGGAGTTTGAATTTTGTGGAATTCGTACTATAAATGAGAATGCATGATTTTTGCATAAATTAATGTATTGGTCGAACAATATACCGCCATTTCCCTAACAATTAAGAGCATGCGAAATTTAGAATTATCATTTGTTTTAGAAAGTTTGTAAATAATATTGTATAAAAATATATACTTATAAATAATTTATACCTTCCCTTTTAATCTCTACGATAAGAAACCTCAAAATGAAATATGAATCATACATGCCTGTCTTGGAGAGTGAGGTATGGGTTACCATTGGAATCTCTAAGTTGTATATTAATATTGTATCTATTAAGAAAAAATTGTGATATACAATAAAAAAATGTAATTAAAATTAAAGATATATGAAAATAATTACCTGACAATAGAGTTGATTACGTCATTACAATAGATACACACCATTTTTGAAAAATGAAATTGACATGGTTGTCCATAATTTTTGCATAACTTATGGAACATATTGTCTATGTTAATGCTTTGAATATAAACATTCGAAAATATTTAACCCAAAATCATTAAAAAAATGTATAGATTGCAATTATTAATTCAAAATAATATGTAGATAATTGATCATTAATTAATTAATTGAGAGAATTTTTATCATAGGTGTAACTGCAAATGTTTTCTCATTTGCAATCTGGCGAGTTTAAAATTTAGGCATTGGTAAAAATATTTGTAGGGGGCATGTTCTATGGTGAAAATTAAGTTGAGAGTTAAGATCAATATTAGAAGAAAGTTGAAAGAGAGCGATACCAGAAAGAAGTTGAAAGAGATGGTAAATTGTGATTTTTGGTAAAATTACGTTGTTATCTTTCATTATTAGGTTGGAGGAGGTTTAATAGAAGTGGAATTGCTAATTGGAGAAATATTAACTGAAATGGGAAGGTATGTGAAGAGTGGAGTGTTAGTTGGAGTGAAATTCTTATGTGATAAAAATATAGTAATATGTTTCAAGTGTGGACATTATGCATTTTATGAAATAAATTAAATATAAAATGGTAGGAAGATTGTGTTTGGATTGCATTTTCTGTCATTTTTCATGGAAAAATTACTGTAACGATTTGATATATGTGAGGGAAAAAAGTGATAGGGAAATGTGATCACGAAAAACGACAATATTTTTCGACGGAAACAAACAATCAAAACATGGCCGAAATTGAGCATTTGGGATCCTCGGTGACATGTTTCTTTATGCCAATCCAATGCCACCTATAATATTGCGTCAAGTGTCCTGTTATTATTTACACTTTAATTTTCTAATAATTCAACTTGGTTTGGTTTAATACAAGTGTAAATAATAACAGGACACTTAGCACAATATTATAGGTGGCATTGGATTGGCATAGAATAAATGTTACTGAGGATCCCAAGTGGAAATTGAGGGGTTCGAAGTTATGTGGAGACTTGTTGTTAAAAACACCTCCTCGAATGTATATAGATATAGGGCCTGTTTGGAACCTGAGTTTTTTGGGAGTTTGTCTAAAACTTCTACAACTTTACTGTAGTGCACTGTAGAAATTTTTGAAAAAATTTTGTAGAAATTTTTGTAAGTAGAAAAATTTTGTAGAAGTTTTTGTAAGGTGAAATTTTTTTTCCATTTCTTTTTTTCTTTCCTTTTCTCTTTCTCTTTCTTTTTCTTTTTCTTTCTTTCCTTGTTCTTTCTTCTTCTTCTTCTTTTCCCCAGCTACCCCCTTCCCCCTGCCTTCTCCCTCAACCCCGCAACCACTGCAAAAGCTCCCCCTCCTTTTCCCTCTGCCCCCCACCCCTCTGCCCCGCAACCCCTCTTCCCCACTCCTGTGCTGTGGTGGAGGGAGCTAAGAGGAACGACGGCGAGGTGGGAGTTGCGAAGAGGAGAGAGAACACGCGAGGGCTTTGGGTCGCGGCCAAGGAGGAACGGCGGCGCACGGTGGAACCAGGGGGCGTGGCGTGAGCGATAGGCGGCGATTGGGCTGGAGTCGCGCGAGGTGGTAGTGGCTTCGTCGGTGTTGCGAGGGAGAGAGAAGGGCTGTGGTGTCGTGCTGCCGTGGGCAGCGGTGTCCGGCCGCGGAGATCGAGAATCGCCCGAGAGGAGAGAGACGTGCGCCGAGGTGGCGGCGTGCACTGGTGATGAGGGGAGGAGATGGCGGTGGACAAAGGGGGAAGATGGCGGGGAAAGGCAGAGGGAAAGAGGAGAGGGGGGAGGGAGAAAGAAAAAAAAAAGAAAAAAGAGATTTTGGAAACCAACATATCGATCAAAAAGGGAGGGAAGGGAGAGAAAAAAAAAAAGAGAGGAAGGCCGGCAAAAGTTGGCCGGAATAATTACCGGCTCCGGAAGCGGTGGTGGCCGCTTGGGCAGGGGAGGAAAAAGAAGAAGAAAAGTTGAAGGGAAAATTTTTTGTGTATTACTTTAAAGTGTGTAGGTAAAAATTTTTTGAGATTCCTGTAACAAAAGTTATTAAAAAACTAGTAGCTAAAAAATTAGTCCAAAGACTTCACTTCCAAACAAGCCCATAGGTCTTAGTTAACTTTGGATGCTAACTGTGGTGCAACTCCAAATATAACCTAATTGCGGCGCACCATTTTTTTTCCCCACTCCCTTCCATGAGCAATTTTAGGGCGAGGAGAAGAGATCGTGCAAGTGGACTGCCGCGTGTTCATACCATGTGTTTCCCCCGCACTAACTGCCGACTTGGATGAAGACGCATGAATTGGGACATTAAATTTGTATTTTCGAATATTTATATAAAATGCATTATAATTACAGCATTAAAGTTTCATATAACCAAAAATATATGTCATGCGATGACTAAATATGGTTGACTGACGAATTACAAGCGCAACCATATTTTTGGGCTTTCCTAAACAAGCAAATCCACAGTTTATAACCATAAGTTGTACCACTATCAATTTTACGCAGCAACGTACCGAGAAAGGTTGAAATTGAGCTAATTAAGACGAGAGAATAGTAAAACTAATCGGGTCAGGATGCAATATATTAGTCAAATGAGTTAATTTTATGTCCGTTTCTCCAACATCAGATGATGGTTAAGGGTTTAAACTCACGCTTAGATAGGTCCAATCTTCATAGACCAAATGACACCCACTGTATCATACTATTTTATCAACTTTTGGCCAGGGTTTGTGAAGAGCGGGTCTATCCAAAATTTGGCATTTCCTTTACAGATTTGGTTCGTCTTCGTCAGCAAAAAATAAAGAATTAAACACAAATGATTAATAACCCAGTATGAATCAATCCAACATTTTGTTAATTGGAATTTGATTGTATCATAACTCTATAGTTCGGATGTAGTTTTATTGCTGGATGAAATGCATTACTGAAATTGATCCCAACCAACCATCATGCTGTATAAATTGGATAGTTCGATCTGTAGT